AAAATATAGGGTTGCCATGTGTCTGGTTTTGAACCGGGCAGTCCAGAATTTGAGCTTTCTGTTCAGGAAACACATTGAGAAAAGATAAATGTCTGGTATTTTCTAAATAAGATGTAATGTAGATTGTGATGTAATGTCAAGTGAGTCCGGTATTTTTGATGAAGCCATCTGGCAACCCTATCAAAATAATGGGGACTAATTTAGCTATAACTACTCGAGAGAGATCTTGGAGTCATTGTGGATAGTTCTCTGAAAACATCCACTCAATGTGCAGCGACAGTCAAAAAAGCAAACAGAATGTTAGGAATCAAGAAACAAGGGGTCACCAAATGAAATTAATAGGTAGCCGGTTTAAAACAAATAAAAGGAAGTATTTCTTCACACAGCACAAAGTCAACCTGTGAAATTCCTTGCCAGAGGATGTTGTGAAGACCAGGACTTTAACGGGGTTCAAAAAAGAACTAGATAAATTCATGGAAGTTAAGTTCATCAATACTTAGCCGGAATGGATAGGAATGGTGTCCTTAGCCTCGGTTTGTCAGGGGTTAGAAATGGATGACAGGAGGGGGATCATTTGATGATTACCTGTTCTGTTCACTCCCTCTGGGGAAACTGGCATTGGCCACTGTTGGAAGACAAGATACTGGGCTAGACGGACTTTTGGTCTGACCCAGTACGTCCATTCTTATGGTATGATGAATGTGTGTTTGTTTGTTTTGCTATGTGAAAAGACTTCTTTTACCTCTTCAGAGTACTTCCTTTCTATATTTTGGAACTGTTGAGGAGCTATGCTTTTAGGTGAAGTTTGAGGCACAGGTGAAGGATCTGGCCTGCATCCTGAAAGAGGTGTATAAATGGGTGAAGAGTTATTGGTGGGCATATGAGCATGTGGAAAAGGATAAGGGAACCATGTCTGTCTTGGCCATGTTGGAGCTATCGCAATAACTCTGTCATTTTCTTCATTTTGTGTATCATTTTGGATATTAGCAGAATTAGAGGAAATGTGTATAAAAGATGTCTGTCCTATCTGAGAAATCAGGCATCCCTGAGAGATTGATGACACATGCCTACTCTGGAGCAGAATTGAGAGTTTTTTGGGTTTTTTTTTGGCTATGGCAAAGTTGTTCATCTTCAGAATTCCCAACATGTGAACACGCTGTGTCAAATGATGACATCTATTTCCCACTCACGGTCTTGGGAGAACTTTCTGCTAAGCATGTCCTCCCTCCCTCTCCTCCCAATTTATATAGAACATACATGTTATGTGTCATCTTTACATCTTTGTCTGTGATTCTGGGCAGAAGTTTTCCTGACTGTTTGTCAGCCGATGGTCAGGGCAGTGAGTAGTGTGTGTGTGTGTTATACACCCGAGACTTCAACTGCTGAGACCAGGGTCCCTTCGCAGCGGGCAACCTGGAGAAGGTTGACGGGCACCCCAAGAAGTTTACAGGGAGAGCTTATTACACCTCAGATTTCAGCTGCTAGGATACAGGATCCCTTCACAGCAGGCAGTCTAGGGAAGACTGAGAGATGCCCCAATGGATCTGTCACCTGGGAGTGACACAATCCAAAACGCCCAAGCTCTTCCTATACCTGTCCCTTATGACCGGCTGAAGTTCTTTTAAATTGTGCTTGGTTGTGTTACAGCAACTGAAGGAGTCAGGTTAAAGCTTAAACAGTTACTATTTTATTGTTACAGGGCAAACTTAGCTGTTAAATGCTACTACTGTGTTACAGATAACACAGCCACTACAAAGGACAGGACAGAAATTACACTAATAAGTCACTTACAGGTACCATGAAACCCTTTTGGTTCTCTGAGCTCTTATTAAATACATGCAAAATAGACACCTAGCAGGTATATATTCTCACCCCTGCGTTCCAGACTTGGCATGGCCAGCATCTTTCTCTCAATCCCTCGGGAAGAAGTAGGGCAAGGTTGGGCGTCCCACAGACCTCAGGAGACAATCAATACCTGTCAGCAGGTGTAGATGATTGGAGCTCAAATGGGATGGGCTACTAAACCCCTCTTTATGCCCCTTGGGTCACGTAGGCTTCTTCCTGGTCTCAAGTGGCCAATTAGGAAAAATGGCTTTGAACACCAAGTTTCCCACAAAGGGTGCAAAGCATAATTCACACCTGGGAAAATGCAGACAATGGACACCTCTAGAATGTGATGGGCGAAGATTCCTCTCCTGGGACAGTGCAGGCATGTCAATTACCGGTACTAGCCATCAGGACGGCGGGAGGCCCCGAGTCGTCAGCTAGCCCATTTACTGTCTGGTTTCTGTTTATGGTAGAGTCAGGGAGAGGCAGCAAACCTGTGTTCCCAGGGCATCAAAGGCAGACTGTCTTTCTCTTGCTCTCTGGGGGGTGGGGGGGGGGCGGAAACCAAGATGGGGTTCATGTCTGGCTACACTGTTCCAAGTTCTAGCATACCCAAGATAAAAATCCTTCTAGCCTTGGACCACCATGACTTCCCACAGTTTAGGCTTTGTTCCTCAGGTGTGTTGTTGTAGAGTGAGTGAGATCTTCCCATAATGTCACTGTCCCCCCATTTATATCTACATCCTATTCGCTGGAAACCTTTTTTACTGTATCCTAGGTCAAACAGTTCCCATCGTGTAGTGCTGTCTCTGAGAGGTTTCTACTGCACACAGTTCCTGGGGTAATCCTTGTGCTTGTATGCATTTCCTCAGTAAGCTATTCACATCAGTTTGGGCTTTTTTACGGTTGTACCTGAAAGGCTGCTTGTGGGTGTATTGAACCTCACAACATTTTTTAGTAGCACATACATAGCCAAACTTCATATACAATACTAACACATACAATCCTATGAGATATGAATGTTTAACAGATCAAGCCTTTTAGAATGATACCTCACAACTTATATTTTGTATAAAACATATCCTAAGTACATGACAATGGTAAATATTGTAGTATTAAGGTGTCACAGGGGTTAAAGTTTATTGCTGAGCATTTACCTGTAGTCCCAGTAATAAGAAAAGGCTCATGGGTTTTGTGTGGCTGCTAACAACTTGTTCAGAGAACTTACTTTGAGAAGGCAATCGCCTAAATACGGAAATTCCTTGTGCCGCTAACACAGAAAGGATTCTAGAGAACACTCTGAAAGTTGATTTGTATTGGAAGTAGTCCAATAAGGTTCAATCTGGGAAGCTCATGTTATGATGGAGAGTCCTGGGTTGAAACTGAATAAATGTTAGCTTCCTTTTTGACATCACTAAAGGGGGTGGAAGACCAGTTACAGACAGCAGAATAGACTGTACTTCATTTAAGTCCGGGGATGTGATACATACTGCAATTATGTCAGTACCCAGCAGTGGAGAGTTGGACATTTCCAAGACCAGTAAATCCTTTGGAAATCGAAATTCCTACAGTACCATAATGGGCATGAGCTCCGCAGAAGTAAGTGGCAATGGTGCCGTTATCTTTATCTTTAATTTTTTTTCATATTAACTATCGAATAGGACAATTTACCCTTCCCTTTGTCTTCCCTTTAGGGAAGTGACATCTAAACAGGGGTATGCCTAGGTCCCCTGGGTTTAAATGCTGCCTCTCCTGTGTGAGAGAGATTATTAAGTCTAACTGCAAACACTACCACGATTAACAAAGGGATTTACTAAAGCAATTCACAAGGAACATACTCTTGTCTCAAGACAAGAATGGCAATATTGCATCTGACCAAGGTATGAGACATGGACAGCCCATATACAGCCTAAACAGGCACTGCTACCAAAAATCTGTCATCTTAGGGCACAGAGATGCAAAGACACCTAGAATAGTGCACCCACAAGGCCACTACTCAAACAAGAACCACATGATTCTAACACAATGATTTTAGTCTGTCTTCTAAGGGAACAAACTCCTTGAATGTTGGATTGTAGGTGTTCAAATACATAAGTAGGCAATAGTGATCCCATCCTGTCCTCATCTGCAACCTAAATGCCCTCAATAGGCAAATTATATCATACTGAAAATGGAGTCCATCTGCTGCAAGTTATTTTTTAGACTTCTTAAAATACTTGTCAGACAAATAAATATTCTTGTATGTTTAACATGAAGGTTTAAAAAATATAAACTCATAAGTCAAGTGCTGTGTTGTATTCAATTCGTGAAACTTGCACACTGAGTACACTGCCTGCGACATACACAGTATACAATCTAGATTAACTTGGACTGCCCCCTTAACAATGCTTTGTTCTTCTTGTCTCCACTCCTGAACTGCTCACAAACAGCCTCTGGCATATAAATCATTCCCAGTTATGCACTTGTAGTCTGCCAGTTTCACCCAGGTTTTTACCAGCCTGACTATTACTGCAGTGCGGGGTGATCTCCGCACACTCCTAGTCCCAAAGCTTTTTCCCAAAAGTACAGGTCTTGTACTGTTCAGCTCTCTCCTGGACAATGTAAGCTCATAAGAAGGCCATCATTCTATTAACAGAAACTATGCATAAATTTTGTTATCTCAAGTAGAGTTTCTCAAACATTTCAATTCAATCACACTGGTTTAGATAAAACAAGTTTATTAACTACAAATAAATAAATAAATGATAGACTTTTAAGTGAATACAAATAATGAGGCATAAAAGTAAAAACTGGTTACAAGAAAAATAAAGATAAAATGAAACTGGTGCCTAACTAAACAGTTAGGGTTGCTAGGTGTTGGGGAATTGTGTCTTCTGTCCAGTAAAAAAAAAAAAACCCCAACAAAACACAGAAAATACCAGACATGCAAAATGTCTGGTATTTTTTGTTTTTCTCGGATGGAAGGCCGGTGGGGACATTTTTCCCCTGCCGCGTCTGGCGGGGGGGAAGGGGTGTCCCTGGGGCCACTTAAAACACTTTCCCCAGCCTCCCCTGCCGCATGGCCAGATACTTCTGGTTCCTCTCCTGCACGTGGGAGAGGCCGCACAGGAGATCTGGCCCGAGGGAGAAGCTCCACGTGCTGGAGCCCTGCGGCTTGCCAGAGAGGTGCCTTCCCAGGCCCAGGCCCAGGCCCAGGAGGCTGCCAGCAAAACTCCTTTTGCCGTGAGCAGAATGAGAGGAGAGGGGAGGGGATCCATTCTCAAAGTGGGAGGGAAGGGAAGCCCCTGAGCCCCTTCACTGCATGCGGCACCTTTTGGAACTAAGGGGAAGCCACAGCAGGGCCAGCTTCCCCCCTCCTCCCGCCCCCTTCCCTGAATAGGCTGGCTAGCCTCTGTTAAGAGAGGCATGCAGGACTGGAGCGGGGGTGGGGGATACATTGCAGGAGTGGGAAGGAAGAGAATCACCCCCAGCCCCTTCCCTGCATGAGGTGCATTTAGGGAGGAAGGGGTGGCCACATCTGGGCAAGCCCCAGAACTCCTTCCCTGCAATAAGCTGGTTGCATCAAGGAGCAGTGTCTTGTAGCCTAAGCTAGCCCTACACTGGACGCAATGCCTCCTTAACTGTTAAGGAGGCATGTGGAACCTGAGGGAAAGGCGGGGGGAGGAAGGGGAGGAATACCTTGTAAGCGGGGCAGGGAAGAGAAGCCCCCTCACCCCTTCCTTCCATGGGGTTAGGATTACCAGGTGTGTGGTTTTCACCTGGACAGTCCGGCAATTGTGTCTTCTGTCCGGTTAAAAAAAAAAAAAAAAAAAACACCCCAGAAAATACCTGTATTTTCTGTTTCTCTTGGATGGAAGGCAGGTGGGGACAGTTTTTCCCTGCTGTGTCTGCAGGTCTTCCCCCCCGTCCCAGCTCAACCAATTTTTTTTCCCTGCCATGTTCGGTATTTTTTGTGAAACTATCTGGCAACCCTATTAACAATTTATGTTAAATTCAAACCCAAGTTTCTCTCACCACATGTTCACAGTAATTTTACTGGCCAAACTCCTTAAAGGCCAGGACCTCTTCCTTCTGTGTAATAGTGTAGACCAGTGGTCCCCAACGCGGTGCCCGCAGGTGCCATGGCGCCCGCTGGGGCATTTATGTGCGCCTGCTGAAAGATCTGGGCCGGCCCCGCCCCCGGGCGCGCGACAGCCCCGAAAGGTTGGGGACCACTGGTATAGACCATTACTACTAATTCCACTAATTCCATTAATTATGTTTGTTTTAAATGCAAACAATATACTAAGAGATCTGAGTTACTGGCTCTCTGAAATAATGTTGCTATATTCTGATAATGTTATAAAGCTGACCATGAGATCCTGCAGTGTTCTATCTTGCAATTTTACTGACCACAATATGCAAACCAAAACATAAAATGGTATCTTTTAGGTTGTGACAGAAACTAATAAAAACAAGTATACAAGAGGCTGACCTCCAGTATCTAGACAAAATAGGAAATTCCTTATCTACGTTATACCTCAGTTAAGTAATAAAACCACATCTGGGTTCCACTAGTCTTGCACAGGAGTTTGCAACATAGCCAAAGATAATTTTACATTCAGTCAGCTTTGTAAGTGCAGTTGTGCATTTTAAGTATTACAATTTCGTTTTTATTAAATTTTGTTTTTACCATGCTCTTCTAGTATATATGTGTTACCTGTCAAGCTCTATTGAAATAGAGGAGGCACATATTTAAGCAAAATCAATACATTTCCACTAAAACAGGAAACTCCTGTTTATCAAAGAGCCATGGGTAGTTTGATCAACCCATAATAAAGAGTATTTTCCTATCATTTTTCAGGAGATGTGGCTCTGGCAATGTTGGCTGATTTTTCCATTAAATAAGTATATATCTTCATTTCTGCACAGCTGTTCAGGCCATTAAACATCTTAGTTAAATATTTGCAAAGAACCAGCCATCTGAAATTAAGTAAAACAAAATAGAGCTCACCAGCTTATTTTCCTACGTAACAACTTCGATATGAATTTATATTAACTCTTTTTTTGCCCATTTCAGAAAACGTTGCATAGGACCCATAAGCTAAAATGTCCCTAGCACATTTTAAATCATTCCATCAATACAAGGGCTAAAACAGATGTGTCACAGAACCTATCACAAATATTTAGAGACATCTGAAAGGTCAGCAATTAACAAGGGGGGGGCATATTTAAATAAGCTGTAAGGGAAGCAAGGGCAAAGGTCATAGACTAGCCACAATCCACAATAGGAGAATTTGGTTGGACTCATTTCACTTAGTCTGATAATCTTACCTCACAGCAGCCATATACCCTTCCCTTTTCAGTTGCCAACATCCTAGATATGGCCAATGTTGTAAAACTGGCTAATAGATAAAGTTATGTTAAAGATCTAAATAGTAGATAAATGTTCTTACTTCTCCTGAAGGACTGTCTGCAATATTATACTTAGCTCTTTATAATACATTACAGTAGGCACACAAAGGTTTACCCAATTTGAAAGTTTTATCATAATATGGATAGAAAAGCTCTCTGACACAAAAAGGCTTACAAATGCATGAAAACATTTAAGTGTAAACCATGTGTTAGATGCACTCTCTCAGCCTGTTCTTCCCAAAGCCACTTCTTGGCTATGCAGGACACTTATCTTACTTAAACTGCAACAGTGAGGATCTCATTGCCACACACAGTAGCATGATTTTCAGATTTTTGCCATGTAATTCAACGTCCTTAGCTCTAAATCTAATGAAAATAGAGAGCAGTCTTACACTGGTAGGTAGAAAACAAACCCTCTTTACTTTTAGAGCTGTAGTCCTGCCATAAAAACCCACTGTTAACATCTTTGCCTTTCTATGCAGAATCATACTAACGTAATAAGCAGAGTTTACCAGTGAGAATACAAAGATAGTGAATAACTTCAATCTGTTGATAAATGCAATAACCCTGCAATGTAAGTGCTTCAGAAAGAAATACATTTTCATTCTTATCTCCATAATTGCACAGTCTTTTGTCTGATTTTCTTTACCTTAAAAGCCTTAGTAACAGCTGCTTCTCAAGCACTTCTGTTTTAAATAGATCTTCCAGCTTCCAATGTGCTTTCCTCCCACCCTCCCTCCTGTGGTGATACAGACAACTGTGATAATACAAGCCAATGCTTTATAGTCTCTTAAACAGAATAATCCAGCATTTAAAGATACTATTTTGAACAATTTCTTCACTCCCAGCACACAATAAATATGTGCATATTAAAAAGCATATCTGAAAATATACATCTTATAAAAGATGGCCCAAAAAACTAAGGGAAAAATTATTCTAATGCACAAATGAGATGAACAGGCTCAGAGGGGAATCAGTGTTAGTATGTATGTGCAAAAATAACAAGGAATCCTGTGGCACCTTAAAGACTAACAGATTTATTTGGACATAAGCTTTTGTGGGTTTTTCCCCACAAAAGTTTATGCCCAAATAAAACTGTTAATGTTTCAGTTGCCAAAAAAAAAAGCAGTGTTCCCTTCACCCCCCACATTATGGGGGATGGGATGGAGGGGAAGCGGTGTCAGTGATTATCTCAAAAGTGGGGAAAGTTTGGTAACTAAGTTTTCCAAATTTGTTTCAAGTATATTCATGCTGTGTAGTAGTCTGAAGCAGTAATCATCCCAGATTTACATATTATACAGTTTCTTTTTTACCTAACATTATACAATTATGGAGTTATTATTCTATTTTGCACTATTTTCATACATTTAAAAAGACGTAAAATCTTACAGGAAAAAAAGCTTACCCGTTCCCAGCTAAAAGACAGACCCAGTGCATCAAGCTGATCCCGCATGTGTTTAATATTACTGCAAAAGAAAAATATGAAACAAGCACATTAAAGAATATATCTAGCTATTTTTGATTATGTAATGCACTTGTTATCAGATGCCTGTAAAACTCTTTGAACCAGAAAGGTACAACAGAAGAGTCAAATATCATTAAACTACATAAACAGTCCAATGAAAGTAGTTGGCTAACAGGCAAATCTTTCTTATGTGAACACTTTAAACTTAAAGGCTTCCAATGCATTTTTGTTCAACTTTTAATGACCATCTGAACTACACACTGATTTTTGCCTATACTTTGAGTGTAACTGAAGAGAGGAGGCCAACTTTTTAGTTTTGGAAAAAATGCTTTTCCATGATTATTTACTATGTGTTTTGCAGTAGAAAGTAGAGACTCCACCTTCATAGTGCTACTAACTATACACATGCCTTACAATCCCTACTCCAAATTGCTTAAATCTAAGATAAGACCTATCAGAAGAGTACAAGAAATAGACAGAGGGGGGAACCAGGTAACAGTGAGACAACAGTGAAAAGTGTAATGTGTTGTATTACCAGTGCTGAGTGATTTGTAGGCATCATGGCAGACAAGTTTTAAGGATAGATTTGACATGGATAACACAGTGGCACTGTGGATATTTACAGGAAGTTCCTCCCATTTATTATGGGTAGGATGGGAGAAACCACAAAGGAATTTCTTTAAAAATGTGACTAGTATTGGCATTATTTGCTCTGAAGTCTCTTCACTAAAGAGCACAGCAACAATATCTTCCCTTTGATGGTAGTCAACATAGTCCCTGCAATGTAGCGAGACCCATACACCAATATCAGGACACAGCTGCTCTCCACCAATCCTGGCAGAGGGAAATAAAGGAGAATTCTCAAATACACACACCTCTTACATGACATAACGATGTGGAACATAATAGGATGTTCATAAACGTTTACATTTCTATGGAAATTAAAGCAAAGAATTAACATTCTGGAAATTCTGAATTGAAAATTGGAAATCCCCTCTAACTAAATCAGAATAAGGATGGGCCAGTGGCTAGGGTACATACCTAGAACTTAGGAGACAAAACATATTTCTTCGAAGCTTTTAAGGCCAGAAGGGAACATTATAATAATCTATTCTGATCTCTATATAACCCAGGGCACAGAATTTCACTCAGTAACATCAGATTTATGTTCAGCACAGTTTGGGAAACAATGTTCAGATGCATCCATTGCTGTCAAGAGATATACTTTCTAGCATAAACAAGGTTGTAGAGCAATTCCTCTCTAGAAACAGCTGGAGACTAGTTTGAATGAGGTAATAGCATTAGGCCAGGTCTACACTAGAAAAGGTCTGTTGAGAGTATAGCAAACCCTCTTGGGCCTGGTTGACACTACAGGGTTAGGACAATGAAGGCTGCTTTGCTGCCATAGTGTCTTTACTTAAATTCAGCTTGCACCAATGTATGTGCCCTTCTATGCCAATTTAGAAATACCATTTACCCAAGAAGCATAGAGTCATAGTATTTAGGTGGATGCAGTTTTAGTGTAGACACTGTATTGCTTATATTGACTGTTACTGGCTGGCAGAAGCCAGCCCACAATGCCCCACACTGACAATTGGTAAGAGAGCTCTGATGAGGATTTGCATCACTGACACAATGACACATACTCAAGACAGGTCTTAATTGGTGGCTGTATGAAAAGGTAAGTTAGTGTATATAAAGTTTTTATGGGCAAAAATATGCATTTGCCAACATAATCCATAAAAAATTATCTGACTATAATAAGCTATACCAGCAAAAGTTATATCCTGCCAGGAGAGCTGTCTGCACAATAGGACGTTACTGGTATAAAAAGTATCATTAAAAAAATTACACCTCTAGCAATTTAAATAAAAAAATTCCGGTGTAGACCTGACCTTAGTTTATTTTGTTCTCTCTCTTGCTGTGTGCGCGCGCGCACGCGCACACACGTCATTCTGCATCACCACACCCCCAACTCCAAGCCCAGAACATGCCCCCTACTCCGGAAATAGCCTCTTGCCATGCTACCAGCACCATCAGAGGCTTCCCCTTTGACTGGCTTCTTCGCCTGCAGCCCTACTGGCTGCAGCTCCTCTGTGTGCCACCCCCAGCCTCCTCACTCATCCCCCTCAGCCAAGACTCTGCATCCACAGCCTGCTCAAACACTGCCCTCTGCCCCCTGACCTCTTGCCACACTACCAAAGCTACTGGCAGGCTTCTCCACTGACTGGCCTCTGCAAAATGGGGTGGGAGGATGGTGGCTCCATCCCTGCACACCTCCTGAAGCAGTGTCTGCCTGCCTCTGGGATCATTCCCAACCTGCCCATCCCATGCACCTGCCACGCAGCTTTCTTCTGTGCGGCCTGGGCCTGCTTATAGCACTTTGGGGACGGGCTGCAGGTTTCCCCCCAAATGAGAGGCTCCGGTGTGTACCAGTGACCTGGGGCCAGACCCCTAGCTCAGAGGCTCTCTTCTAAGCCCACCACGAGCTGGGCAGGTCTTGGCCACACTGCACACCCTGCTCTTTAGGGATGGCACAGTTACACTGCACCCCAGCCGCCTTCCCAGCTCTCCAGAGCGCCACTCTGCACTCTGGGCTCCCTGAGCTCGCCATGGTGCAAAGATGCCCCAATAGACCTGTTCAGAAAGGCTGGGCTGCGGGTGGGCTGTGGTTCCTGCTGTGGTGGCTGGGGCTGTGCTACCCGGGGCTGTGCTACACGGTCTGGTAGTGCTCCTGAGGAACGGGGCGCACCGCTCGACAAATTTGTGGGAGGGGACAGGGTGTGTGTAGGGAGGCAGGAAGGGATAGAGTGTATGTGGAGATGGGCAGTGCAGTAAGGGGGGAAGGTGGGGGTCAGGGAGATATGGGAATGGAGGCAGGGGGATGGGCAGTATGGGGTGGGGATTTGGAGGGATTAGGGAAGGATGGGGATGTAGGAATGGAGGAAGGAGGTGGGGGTAGGGATGGCTGGAGGGGGATGAGCAGTGTAGGGTGGGGAAGAGGAGAGGTTAGGGAGGATGGGTGAGCAGAGGAAGAAAGAGTTTTGTGAAAATTTTACATGAGTAAGGCTGGCCAATCTGATTAGAATAGATCTAAATTCGCCCTCTATCCCAGATTACAATTCCGTGGAACCACAAGTCTCTTCCTCTTGAGGGTCAACAGACGACCGACCACACCACCACCTCAGCTCAAGGAATGAACTAGAAAATAGTTTTATTGCTAATGGAATAATGATTATGATTACCACAGCAAACACTACAGTAAGAACAGAAATCACTTGAATTCCTTCCCAAAATGTCATTAACATAATTAATCCCAAACTTATCTAAGTATACAAAAAGTAATGATAATAATAGTAATAATAATAATTCCTACACACACAAGAATCCCAAGGTTGGATGGAGAAGGGTGGCAATAATTCTATGAACTCAGCAGTTTACACTTTCCTCTGAACTACCTTTATGTAGTACATGATTTACTCCTGGGAGAATACTGTGCCACTGTGTGCATGCATATTAATGAGCCGTTCATATGTTTGATTATTTTGCAAAGAAAAACACTTCTGAGAATGTTAATACTACTGAGTGGAACAAAACAAAAACAAAACAAAACAAAAACAAACAATAATGGGAGAAATAGAGCCCAATTTTGAGAGGTTTGGAACACACAACTCGCACTGAACTTAGTAGGAAATATAAGTGCTTGTCATATCATTCCCAACCTGCCCATCCCATGCACCTGCCACGCAGCTTTCTTCTGTGCGGCCTGGGCCTGCTTATAGCACTTTGGGGACGGGCTGCAGGTTTCCCCCCAAATGAGAGGCTCCGGTGTGTACCAGTGACCTGGGGCCAGACCCCTAGCTCAGAGGCTCTCTTCTAAGCCCACCACGAGCTGGGCAGGTCTTGGCCACACTGCACACCCTGCTCTTTAGGGATGGCACAGTTACACTGCACCCCAGCCGCCTTCCCAGCTCTCCAGAGCGCCACTCTGCACTCTGGGCTCCCTGAGCTCGCCATGGTGCAAAGATGCCCCAATAGACCTGTTCAGAAAGGCTGGGCTGCGGGTGGGCTGTGGTTCCTGCTGTGGTGGCTGGGGCTGTGCTACCCGGGGCTGTGCTACACGGTCTGGTAGTGCTCCTGAGGAACGGGGCGCACCGCTCGACAAATTTGTGGGAGGGGACAGGGTGTGTGTAGGGAGGCAGGAAGGGATAGAGTGTATGTGGAGATGGGCAGTGCAGTAAGGGGGGAAGGTGGGGGTCAGGGAGATATGGGAATGGAGGCAGGGGGATGGGCAGTATGGGGTGGGGATTTGGAGGGATTAGGGAAGGATGGGGATGTAGGAATGGAGGAAGGAGGTGGGGGTAGGGATGGCTGGAGGGGGATGAGCAGTGTAGGGTGGGGAAGAGGAGAGGTTAGGGAGGATGGGTGAGCATAGGAATGGAGGGGGGGGTAGGGATTGTAGCCTGGGAAAGAGGTTTGTGAAAATTTTACATG